AATTTTACATTGTGATAAGATTTTATTTTTTTTTTCAAAGCAGGAAAATATATCCCACAATGGCTGGAAATAGCAGCAAGGCATCCCATAATGGAAGAGCACTTCCCTCCCATGAGGAGAGGTGGGGGAGGGAGGCAGTTCTCTCTGGAGCCCTTTTGACAGAAATTTAGCGTTGCTCTTTCAGCCTTCTTAACGTTCCTGCTCTTTTGAGGACAGTGTGTCTTCTCAGTGTGAAACGAGAGCTCATTTCTCCTTGTTTTTTTTCCTTTTCTCCCCCCTATACTCTTCCTTCCTTTCTGCGGACTGTCCTCCAGATTGCAAAGGACATGGAACGCTGGGCCCGCAGCCTCAATAAACAGAAGGAGAACTTCAAAAACAGCTTTCAGCCAATCTCCTCCATACGAGAGGATGAAAGGCGGGAATCAGCCACAGCTGACGCTGGCTATGCTATCCTTGAGAAAAAGGTACAATTTGTGGGGAGCGCACCATGAAATCAGGAATATACCTGTAGCTCATTTTTGACAATTTAAACAAAACAATCCGATACAGGTAGTCCTCGACTTACAACCACAATTGAACCCCAGATTCTTGTTGCTAAGCGAAACCAATGAGCTTGGCCACATTTGCCACAAAGTTAAATGAGCTTTGCCACATTTTTACGACTTTTCTTGCACGATTGTTAAGTGAATCACTGCAGTTATTAAGTTAGTAATATGGTTGTTAAGTGAACCCGGCTTCCCCGTTGATCTCGCTTGTCAGAAGGCCGCTAAAGGTGGTTGCGTGACCCAGGGACACGGCAAACGTCATCAATCTGAGTCTGTTGCCAAGCATCTGAATTTGGATCGCGTGATCATGGGGATGCTGCAGTGGTTGTGAAAAACAATCATGTCACTCTTTTCAATGCCATTGTAATTTCGAATGGTCACTAAATGAACTGTTGGTAAGTCGAGGACTACCTGTAGTTAATAAAGGTACGAACACAGATTCATCAGCCCTCGTTAACTAATAAAGAACTATATTGGATATTATTTCGGCATTAAAGTATATATATATATTGTACAATTGCTGTTGCAATGTGATATTTTGTATGCTTTTAAAAAAATACAATCGTGCAGAGATGGAGGAGTGGTTATACTTGAGTTAACGTTCATCATTCGGCAACGTCCTGAATGACTTCCTCGTGTAGTTTGAGAGACCGTTTTGACTTCCGAATAGAAAAAAAACGTATTTTCATTAAGAAAAATGATTAAATACTTCCCTGCTTTCCTTTGTGTGTTCTTAGGGAGCGCTGGCTGAGAGGCAACACAGTACCATGGATTTGTCCAAGCTTACGGGCGATGACAGGCTGGTAAGCCTCTCCTCTCAACTTTCTCTGAAATTTAAACTTTCTGGCTTTCGCTCTGAGCGACCAGAAGAACGGGTGAAAGTGTAGCGATTCTATAAATCTTGCTGACGTCTAATACGTCAAGGTATAAGAAATACTAATATTTATGTATCAAGGGAAGTCTTGAACACAAGATCTCTCGGTCTCAAAAGCTATTTCTGAGATTATCCAGAACAGTGGGGATTATGGAAATTAACTCACCCAGGGAACACTACATTGAAAAAGGTTGCAACAGATTATGGTAATAGTTCTGATTATGGCATGTAACCCTCCCCCTCTCCACCTTGCAGAGTCCACCACGAGGCTTAGTGGCTGCATACAGTGGTGAAAGCGACAGTGAAGAGGAGCAAGAGAAGGCAGCTGATCGGGAGGAGAAATTAACTGATTGGCACAAACTGGCTTGTCTGCTTTGTCGCAGACAGTTTCCCAGCAAGGAGGCACTTATTCGTCACCAGCAGCTCTCGGGCTTACATAAGGTATGCAGCTGACAGCAGCCTGTCAATTTCAGTACAGTCGACAATAGCAGCTAATTGGACTACTTGGATTAGAGGCCATGGGAGAATTTTGTGATGATTCTAGTTCTTTGTAGGCAGAGCTTTAATACTTGGACCATGCCAGTTCCAGCAAGACCTCACTGTTCCTGGCCTATCAATTGTTAGAAAATAACTTTGTTCTTGTCAACATGTTGAACAGACTGTTCTTGTTTTGAATTATTTAATTGTATTATTTGTGATCGAAGACCAATTATAAAAAGCAAATTACAACAAATGCAAAAATAATAATTACATTAAAAACCTGAACAATTAATATTGTGAAAGAGATCATGAGGAGACACCAAGTGGTTTACAAGAGTCATGGCTATCAATAAGAACGTTGCAACTTTCATAAATGTTTCTGAGAATTGATCACATAGGAGAGGTATAATCAGTGCTTTTTTTGTGTCATAGAACTCACCGGAACAGAGTTCCGGCACTTTTTTTTTTTTTTTACAGATTTTCCAAATTTTAAAAGTAACTTTTGAAAATTTGATGTTTGGTCCACATGGACTTGAATCGCCCTGTCGAACGTAGCAGGTCGGCGGCAAAATCATTAAAACGGTGCACGTGGGCTGCTTGTGTGTCAAGTCCAATGCATGTGTACTTTGTCCGGCTCCTTGGCTTGGGGCACTGCTCGGCTTGTGATTGGTCATGTGGTCACGCGCTGAGTGCCTACTGCGGGCGGCGACCGTTATGTTTTGTTACACAACTGACGTGTGTGGGTGTGTGTACAGCGATTGACTACATGAGAAAGGTAAATAAAAGATTAACAAGATGTGAGTTCTGGCACCTTTTTTCTTACAAAAAAAGCACTGGGTATAATCTTGTAATTGTTAAGAGCAAGCGAAATTACTGACAATGGGAAATAGGAGTTCTGATTCCCGTTAGCTATATAACAGGGAATTGAAATAACATATGATATAGATTCAACCTTTATATCTGAATAAAGGCAACTATTGCTTTCAACTAGTTACTTAGCCAGTTGTTGGCCCAGTAGGTATTATTTCAGTTTGTGCCAAAGTCTCTAATGAAGAATGTGTAAGATATTAAAATGTAGATCTGAGGTAGGAAAGATGGGAAGCACTGGTTTGAAGTTGCCTATCTAAACCCCAAACCCTCTGCTTCAGTTTTATCCTGGCCAAAAGCAGAAAATGTCAGCAAGGAAAGTCAAATCATTGTTGCTCTGTCTTGTTAAGAGTACAGACAAATCTAGCAAGGTGAGATTAGCCAACAAAGTTTCCAAAAGGTTTGCTTCAGAATTTTGCGGCAGAATCTTAATTAAGCTCCAAAGATTCAGCCTAATTCTAACCGTATTCTGAGACAGTTTCAGAGATGCCCAGAAAGCATTCTTTGTTGAGTTTTTGGTTCCTTTAGTAAGGTTTAGATGCAATCTGAAAATGTTTGTTCCAGTTTCACCTATATAGTTTTTTATATCTATATATTTTTAATTTGCTGTCATTTATTTTCAAGATGCTTATTGCCTTGCTTCAGTTATAAAGTATTAAGCTGAAATACAAACATAATACTGCTGACACAGAAATGATTACATGTCTTAGGAGCAACATGGCTCTCCAGAGCATGTTTTGATTCTACTTTCAACCCTTCATCCTTCTGTTCTTTTTCTCCCGTGCAGCAAAATTTGGAGATTCACCGAAGGGCACATTTGTCAGAACAAGAGCTTGAGGCTCTTGAAAAGAATGATATGGAGGTACAACAGATGGAACAGATAATGGGGGGGGAGGCAATACAAGGGAACGTGTTATATAGGAAGCATCTCATCAGCTAACACTGTCCCTTCATCACTGTTATCAGATGAAGTATCGAGATCGTGCAGCTGAGCGAAGGGAAAAATATGGGGTTCCTGAGCCACCAGAACCCAAGAAAAGAAAGTATTCAGCTGTGACCCCAGCCACGGTGTAAGTTTTACACTACGTGTTACATTTTTAGAAGAAGCCGCTTTTCTTAACAAAGTGTCCTCTGGGCTGTTTTCTTTGGCCTCGATTGGCAGAAGAGAGCAGGATTGTCTTAGTTCTTTACTTCATCCCCTCCCCCATTTGCAACAGGGATTTTGAACAACCAACACGAGACGGACTCGGAAGCGACAACATTGGCAGCCGCATGCTACAGGCCATGGGTTGGAAAGAGGGCAGCGGTTTGGGTCGCAAGAAGCAGGGTATTGTAACCCCGATTGAGGTAATTTTTCAGATTGATCTATATGTAAAAAAATAAATTTTGTATTCTGGAAGAGCGTTCAGCCTCTCCAGATGCTTTCTCTTATTATATACTGGCTTTGCATAAAGGGAAACTCTCTTGAGTTTTATTGCATAGCCTTAGAGTTTTGTTAGATCAATTTATATGCATAATTGCCTTGGGATTCTTCTGTCCCATATATTACACTGTCTGTAAAAAAGAAAATTGCTGTTTATAGCTAGGTAATATAATAGTTAAAAAATAGAAATTGGGAGCAAGAACTGAATTGTTTCCACAAGGAGTTGATGGTGTGGTTGTGATGATGGTCTAGAGAAAATAGGGCATCTTACAAAATACGGCAAAGAGTAGATTTGTGAGGTAGTTTTTCTCCCCCCTTCTGTTACCATGCATTATCTTGTTTAGGTGTCTCAATGTGATTTTATTTTTCCTTCTCTCTTAGGCCCCAACTCGGGTACGAGGGTCTGGCCTTGGTGCACGTGGCAGTTCTTACGGCGCTGTAGCATCAGAGTCGTACCGGGAAACATTGCACAAGACAATGCTCACTCGTTTCAATGAGTCAGACTGAACTTTGTAAGAAGCACCTATTGTACAGTATTTTGCTGCTGTCTCCCCTTACTCCCCGCCATCCAACTTTCAGAATGTTCTTTTGGTTGACTTTTTATTAAACGTTCAAATGGACAAAAGAGGATTTTACACAGCTGAAGCATGTGGAAAATGAATAATATACTCGGTGCTCTTGTGACCATTAAGCATTTCCAATGTTCATTATGTATAAGTGTGGTTACAGTAAACCCTTGAGTTTACAAGCTTTCCACAAATAGGTACAAAGAGGCAATAATTGTAGCGCTGACCAGGATCTTGTAGTCTCTGTCCTTGGGCTTTCCATTTGAGGTGCCGGTCTTGGCTTAGCAAAAAGAAAACACAGGGAAAACCCTGCATCATCTCAACAGGCAGTCCTTGGCTTTTCAAAGGCTCTGGTGTAGCCCTTCCACCAATTCTACATAATGGGGTTCTGAAAAGAGAGAAGCAGAGGAAAACTCTGTATGCATGGTACTCACTATCCTTCAGATGTGTTTCTACAAAGAAGCCTCTCTTTGTCATTTTCACCCCCTTCTCTCTTCCCCTAGTTCATTTGTTTACTTTGACCCTACATTGCTGACGCCTACCTTGATCAGGTTGAATGTAACTATGTCTTATCAGAAAATCCAGTGCTACCATTGCACAGTTGGGCTTGAAATCTGAAGATCCGATGGCCTCTCTCACCTGCGTAAGAAGATTTAAAATGAACATATAAAGTAGAAATGGCAGTTAGTATTCCTAATGTCGTGCCTAGACTGGCTACCATAGCACAGAATTAATGAGAATGTGTGCTAATACGTTTCCTCTATCATTCCAAATAAAGTTAAACACTATAATAACAAGCTAGGAAACCACAGGAGAGCTGCAGCCCTACCATCTCTTGTTTGAAATATGCCACCGAATGGTATAGGATCTGTAATGTGTAATCAGTTCTCACTGGGCTTTCCAAAGAGAGAGAGACTCATCATCACAAATGGGAACAGCAAAGAAAATTGCTTGCGGGAGGCCTCATCAGTGCTATCTTTTATTGTTCAAAAAGGGCAACCTTTATTGGTAAGCAACATAGCACCTACGAACCTTATCAAGTGACCAAAGATAGAATTCTTGCACTTCTCCATCTCCCACTCGGGGCACAAATTCTTCAGGCAGCTCCAGGTCAAATACAAACTGGCATTCAGGATAGATGCCTCCATCTGACTCTTCATATGTGTAGCTGGGACAGGAAAAGAGGGAGAATAATTCAATAGCACCGTTGACTTGCGTAGAGAATGTTCAGGTATGTTCTCATGTGGAGTAACACTGACTGGAGTTACAGAGGAAGTGACCTCTTCCGAAAGAGCTCATCTTTATATACTGCTACCTGGATTCCTATGAAATTAGGAGTCACATTTAAAGGACCATATATGCGTAATAGATAAATGCTGTGTGCTACATTAAGGCAATCTGGTTTGGAAATTCTACATATTAATTATTGCTTCCATATTTGACATATTTGTTTTCACAATTTAGCTGGAATATGTAGCAAGCAAGAAAATTGCCATATAGTAGTTGAGCGAGAAATTACTGGCTATAAATACAGTTGTGTTCCCTCGATGTCAACTTCAAGGGACACAGATATGTAAATATACGCATAACATAAATATAAATACTGCTACACTACAATGTACCTTGGATTTTAGAACTTTCTGCATTACCTGACAGTTCCAACAGATTTGGATAATGTAGCAAGTGAAGCAGGAATGCAAGCTTCTTCTTGGCACTCTTTTATTAGTGTCTCTCTGACACCCAGCTCTGATGAAATGCCACCTGCAGCCTAAGCCAAAAAACAAATCAAAAACCTAAATTGTGGTTTACCATAAAGGAAGCAGCCAACATTAGCTATTTTTGGTCTTTAAGAAGGATCTTTTCTGTCCATGAAACATGAATAATTTCTGAGTTGGCAAACTAGATGGCTTCAAGGCTTCTTTGGAGTTTTTACACACAGTCCCCGACTTACAGCCATTTATTTAGTAACCATTCAAAGTTACAATAGCACTGAAAAAAGTGATTTATGATTGGACCTTTCACTTATAACTATTGCAGCATGCCCATAGTCACATGATCTAAAATTGGTTGCTTAATAATCGGCATGAATTTATAACAGTTGCAGTGTCCTGGGGTCATGTGATCACCATTTGCGACCTTCCCAACTGGCTTCTGACAAGCAAAGTCAATGGGGGAATCCAGATTTGCTTAATTACTGTGTATTTAACTGCAGTAGTTTGCTTATCATGGCAAAAAATGTCATAAAATTGGGTGCAACTCTCTTAATTGCCTTGCTTAGCAAAGGAAATTCTGGTCCTTATTGTAGATTGAGGACTAGCACATACAATGTTGGCAAGAACTTCCCTATTCACATTGCTAAGAAAAATGGTTCACGCTGAAATTATAATTTTGTATAAATAATAAAGACTTGTTTGTATTTTGGGCATTCAGCCCAATACTGTGGCCTGCCCAAGCTCATTAAGTTATTTCTCTGATTGTATTGGACCGATAAGAGTATTAGATAGCTGTTAACTAATCCCACTTTCAGATGAGATATTCTATTTGTCATCCTATTTTGTCTCTTACCAAATTATCCAATAAGCCAGGATATGTGGGTTTGTTCAAGGCCCTACGGGCCAGCCACATGTGCATTTCACCTTTTCGCCAAGTATAGCCGTTCAGGTGGGCACCATAGCGCTTCACTCCCAATAATGCTGGATCAAGAGAAATAAATCAGAAATGAATTTAGGCAACACTTCTTGATGCCTTCAACCAAACACCTACCTTTGCATCACATGTTCTGATTTTGGGTAATTTCATCTGCCTTAAGCCTTCATAACACTTGTTTTAAAATACCACATACGTTGGGGAATATTGACAAGAAAATAGGATATTAAATGAACAGCAAGGATGGTTCATAAGCACAATTCCGTAAAGATTCATAGTCAATATTTGAAGAATTCTTATGCAAGTTCAAACTGTTATTTATTTCTCTAGAGCTGCTAAAGTTGATCCAGGATTGGTGGTCCATTAAAAATACCTAAAAACCAGTCCCAAACTTTCAATAATCAGAATTTTACACTGAAGAGACTATATTGTGGTTAACTCAAATGCAGAAAATGAATTACTATCATCTCTTCTGAAGTGATTTACCTGTGCTTAGCTTCCTATACACTGATGGAAGTCTGACACTTTTAATTGTTGCATTTTATGGAAGAGGAATGCTTGGCACAAGCAGTTTTTTTCATAGCATACTATTGGTGAAGAAGAAATCTGATTTTTCATAGGAAAGGAAAATTAGTGTCAGCTTAGGTCTTTTTTTTTTTTTTGGTGTGCAGTGATTTTGACATGCTTTATTGTATTCATCCCAACAATTTAAAGGGATACTGATCTACCCTTTATGTCCAAACTATGCCATCTGTTTTAAAATAAAATTATAAAATTTGGCTTCAAAGGCCTATAAAATTATATACTGGTTATTCAGAAAGCAATATTGGAGCAAAATGTAATTGCAGGATTCGTAGAATGTTCATTCCTATTTTGGAGTTGGGAAACAGGAAGAAAATATCATTTCCTTTAGAATTGGTGATAAATAAACTCAAGAGATTTATTTTATATACCTGATCATGGGACACCTTAATAATGAAATGGTTTCTGAAACAAACGGAGTATTTACAGTATTTAAACAACTGTCAATGCGCACATTTAAAAGAATATCAGCAAGGAAGCCACATTTCCCCACTGTTTCTATTATCTAAATTACTTTACTGAAATACTTTTGACAGGAATGCCATAAGTTCTTTGGTTGAGGCTTTATCCCATGTCTCTGCAGCTTAAAACAGTTTTGCTAGATTTAAATCCCATATTTTGTACAGGAGTTCAAAGCGGCATACGTAGTGCACTATTCTAGCAGCCCAGTAAGGTAGGACAAACAAAAAATGATTAGCCCAAAGTTACCTAATGAATTTCCATGACGGGGGGTGGACTAGAATCTTGGCCTCTCAGCCCCTAGTTACAACACATTAACTAACATAACACTCTGGCTCTCTTTTCTAAGATAATTTTAAAAATCACACTCATTGGCATTGTTATTTACTTTTGCACAAGTCAGGTCTTGCCTATATAGCAAAGTAGTGCCAAGATTTTTAAATTTCAAACTCACGTGTTGCAGCACGTTCCATGCTGAAGAAAGGTGTGTCACAAAAATAGGGCATTACATTGTACATCTGAAACAGAAGGCATGTTTTTATTAGTGAATAGCTCTGGTTTTGCACCCCACTGCACCGTTGTCCTTCTAAGCTGTTATTCAGAAGGGAAAAACTGGATTTTTCTTGCCCACATCTCTTCTATAGTCAGAAATAGAAGAGAGTCCCCTTCCTTTTGCTTGGTTGTGCCAAATCCTCTTACCTCATCTCTCCATCCTTTTAAACAAGGGAAAATTTGCTGTGCTTTCAGCTCCTTGAGCACCCTTTGTACAGCAGCTGTCCTCTGGTCACAAGAAGTCAGTTGTTTGTTAAGTTCCACTCGTGGAGGGGCTTTATCTCCTTGAGACACTGAGAAAACAGTTGGGTGCTGATGGAGACATTTGGCTACAGCCGGTGGGACATACCCTACTTGTTGTCCAGCAACCATAAATGGCAAACACAGTGCCTTGGAAGAACCTGCAAAGAAATCAACCCAAATCAATCCTCTATTGCAGTTAAGATCTAGTTTCTACAAATAAGTCAAATCTGCCAAAGTGCTTCCTTGGAAAACGATCTATGGGTTACTAACCTAACAACTGGCAAGAAAGATAAAATGGGGGGGGGGGAGAGAGATTACTTTAACAAATGTCTTGCTTAGCAACAGAAATTTTGGACTCAATTGTGCTTGTAAGCCAAGGACTACTTGTACAAACCCAAAGATGTTGTAGAGAAAGTAGCTTTTGTGGTAACAAAACTTACAGCAAAATCATTATGAGGAAACGATTAATAAGAGTCATACAGCCTGAGGGGGGAAAAAACCCAGACCAACATTTTCTTCTTTTAGAGGTAAATAGGTGACCATGTGAAGGTCACAAGCAGCATGCAAACAACCAGTACTGAAAAGCCCTTTATTATTAATATTTACCTACACCATTAGTTGTCACAGATAACTTTACTGATGGATTTATCCAATTTCTTTTTCAAGCAATTCAAGTTGATGGCGATCATATAGTAAGCTAAAAAGCTCCAAACTGCTTTCTTGACAGATGACTTGAGCTTTTGCATTTTCTTTTCTATACTTTTCCAAAACCTACAACTTGTTAAGGTGATCAAAACCTGAATAAGGATATTATGCGACATCACTGTACAAATTTGTGAAAAGTCATTACAGTATCTGATTTTTTTAAATTCATTTCCTACTTATCCAAGTTATATACGTAGAACTTGCCTTTTCAGAGCAACTGCCACAATTCAGTTGGTGTCTTCATCCACCCAATTCACTACAGTCCCATTTTCTTTCCTGAACATCATCTCAGTTTCAATCAGAACACATAAAATTAAGCCTTTTGCCCCATTGCTTTTACATGACTTATCTTAAACCATGTTTGCCATTTGATGTCCGTTTCCCTGTTTGCAAAGAGCTTTTCATTGTCATTTTCTTAAAAAACAACAATCTTAAGATATCAGCAAACGGATCCATTTCGGAGTTTGCCTTCATTCCAGATCTTTTAGGAAGGCGCTGAAAAGCATCAATCCCAATGTTTGCAAAAACTGTCCATTTATTCCTACTCTCGGCTTTCTGTACTGGAAATAATTAAATCATAAGAGAATGCTAATTTTTCTTGCTGTTTGCATAGAGGTCTTTGAAGAACTGACAGCCGCAAGCCATACAATACAAACAGAATAGAGCTGGAAGGGTCCTTCGAGGTCTTCTAGTCCAACCCCCTCCTGCCCAAGCAGGAGACCCTACCATTTCACACAAATGACTTGTCCAGTCTCTTCTTAAAAACCTCCAATCATGAAGCACCTTCGAACAGCTTGTGGTGCGATTTGTGGTGCGATTTGCACAACGAGGTGAAGCTAAGCAAAAAAAAAAAAGGGGGGGGGAATAAACTCCGTTTCTCATTGATTTCTTCCGCGCTTTTAAAGGAAGTGGCAGTTACCTTTTTATACGTTCCCGTTATTTGGGTCTCTCCCCATAGTAGAGCTGCAGGTAATGAAACATGCCTCTTACGAGGGCAAGCTCGCCTTGGCTTACCTTTTGGGCTGAAGCTTTCTGCATTTCTAGCGGTTGAATTTCAATCCTGTTCCAGGACGTTTAAGACTGAAAGGAGTCTAAACGCTGGCTTTAAATCTGCTTGGGCGTGCCTGTATGCGCTCCGGTGGCTAAATCCTGTAGAAAACTGCTCACAGGGAAAGCCCGCGGTCGTACCTGCTCCGTGAAAGGAATTCATCTTCTTCAGCAGCTTCCGCGCCCGCTCCGACCATCCTTCGGCCGCCATAGTACCTTTTGTGTAAAGCCCGCCCCCACCCCTGCTCATCACGCCGGACCCATGTAAAGCGTACATCTCATTGGCTCGGCCAGTCGTTCTGATTCCTGATTCGCCTTCATCCTTCTAATTCCATCGGAAAGCGGCGGAGAGCTCAGAGGGAAAAAAAAACTTAATAGCGCTTCGCTTTGCCTCTCTTACCATCGAGGATTTCATATGTTGGTGTCTGGAGGTGAGAAATACATTTAAAAAAACAACAATCCTTGCAGGGAGAGAATTATGGCTTAGAGCAGGGGTAGTCAACCTTGGCTCTTTTATGACTCGTGGACTTCAATTCCCAGAATTCCTGAGCCAGCTTAGCTGGCTCAGGAATTCTGGGAGTTGCAGTCCACGAGTCATAAAAGAGCCAAGGTTGACTATCCCTGGCTTAGAGGGAAGAGTATGTCCCAGTTCCAAAAAAGAATCAAAGGATATTTTTTGAAAAGTTTCCAGTAGAGAACTTGGAAAGCAACCAACTATTGCAATACATCGGGAGTGATAAGGATGTGGGTCTGCATTTACTGGAAGATCTCTGAGTTTGTAATACAGTACACTAGATAGCAAGGGTATCCAACTCTTCGTGGTTTAATAATGCAGACATAGGTACCCATCATACTGTTCTCAGAGAATGCCACTTTATCCAAAGTAGACAAAAGAGAAGTAGAAGACTGGAGGCTAAAACATATAAGGAATGGTTGCTGGAATTGGATATGTCTGGTTTAATGAAGAGAAGGACTAGGGATGACATGATAACAGTGTTCCAATATCTCAGGGGCTGCCACAAAGAAGAGGGAGTCACGCTATTCTCCAAAGCACCCGAGGGCAGGACAAGAAGCAATGGATGGAAACTAATCAAAGAGAGAAGCAATCTAGAGCTAAGGAGAAATTTCCTGACAGAGCAATTAATCAGTGTAACAACCTGCCTCCAGAAGTTGTGAATGCTCCAACACTGGAAGAGACTGGACAATCATTTGTCTGAAACGGTATAGGGTTTCTTGCAAACCACCTTTGTATTTAAAAGAGAGGCATTTGATTTTGTAGAAAATAAAAATGATGGATGGACACTACCTCACACTGTCTGGAAAAAAGAGCAAAGATTTTGTAAGTGAGTATAACGTGCTTTCCAAAATTCTAATGAGCCTTCTGCACCTAAAGGAATGACTATAAGAACGGTTCGGTTTCTGTTCTTTCTGGTCAGAGGATCGAATTTTCGGGAAACACTGAACCTTACAACCGAACTGTACAGTGTGTAAATGACACAGTCAGGAAAAACTTCACCATTTGATTCAGGTAGATTTATTGTCCTGACTTCCAAATTGAGGCCAGATAGATCCAACTCTTTCTGCCAGTCTAGGGATATGATTTACATGTTTATATAAAAGATGTAGAAATGTATTTCTTTAGAAAAGAAAATAATGCCAAATAACAACAGATTAATATCTAATAGAATTAATTAAAATATCAAAAATAACCTTTGGTGGGAAGCTAATAGTGTTCCATGTGCCTGGGTGTATAGTCATGCTGGCCACCTGACGATGGAAATGTCTTCGGAAATGCTGGCTCCCTCGGCTAAGAAACGGTGATAAGCACCATCCTCTAGTCTAGAGTTGGACATGACTGGACAGGGGAAACTTTTACCTTTATCAAAAATAATGTGCAAGGGTGTGAAAGCTCATTTGCTGTGTCCTTGATTTAATTCTAATGTAGCTGTTAGCCTGCAGTGATGTAATTCATACAGTGCTTACTTTAGCTACTTAGAGCATTATGGAGAAAGCAGGGCAGATAATAACAATTCTGTTCTAATTACACTGGCTACCTCTGTTTGGCTTCAGTGTAGTGCTAGCTTTGAACTTTAAAGCACTCAACTTTGCAAGGCCAGGTTACCCAAAGGACCTCTTGCCTCCTGAGAACCTGCTCAAGATTTGATCTCGGGACCTTCTGTTGCACTGATAAATTATTTAATTTAACAGAAATATTACCTAGTTTATATTGGGACTTTCTTTCCATCGCTGGCCAACCACATACTTCCTAAAAGCACCCCATAACTATGTATGTAGGATACACTTAACCTATATAGTGGTACCTTGGTACTCACTTGCTTTGAAACTTACCAATTTTGATACTCAGTACATTTTGACACAAAAATTCTCATTGTTTGATACTCGACACACAAGCTAGAACTTGTTGGTGTCGGCTGCCATGTGGCTCACTACATTATTCCTTGTGGGAAAAATCTGTTTGGTACTCAGTGTTTTTAGTACTCATTGCACCTCCCGGAACCAATTAATGATGAGTGCCAAGGTACCACTGTATATTGAATGAAGTCATTTCTTCGGTTTTTACAGTACCTCAAACCAGAACCCAACTAATTAGGCTAAGGAAAATTTTGAAAAAAAGCCCTTCTCCAAGATTAAAAAAAAGCTTGCAGCTACATGATGTCCTACTAAACTTGGTGAAGTATATTGTATGAAAACAGCCAATGTATGAAAATAGGTTTTCATTATTGTTTAGTTCAGAATCCAGTAACAGAAATGTGCTGCTCCAATAAAGGCGGGCTCCATTCAGCCATCAATTTTAATTCCAGATCAAAAGAATCAAACATAAGTCATATTGAGTTAGGGAAACAATCTTCTTTATTTTTATAATTATTAATATTATACTTTGAATATTTTTACATTTTTCTTTCTATTTTTTTCCCTAAAGTGTCTGATCTCTTAAGAATTTTTTATCACAATGGCCAGTAGAAAAATAACCAAACTCTTAAAAACAAAGGCGCTCTTTAGCGCTTCCCATAAAGATCAGAAGAGAACCGTGGAACAGTGCAGAGTGGAGACACTTTACAGTATGGGGGTGAGGAAACAATGGGTTCAGAGCATATCACAAAGGGACTCACAGTTTATTATGTACAGAGCAATGAGTATCAATGGCTGTGCAAGTGCCCTGCTTTGAATTAAACAATTGGGAATGCGAGGCTGAGTCATAAACCCTGTATAGAGGTTTGTAGTAAATACGTTTTCTCCAGTGGTGCTTAATTTTAATTTATACTTGATTGGCTTCTGTTATGACCCACCAAGCAGCAAAACCTCTTTGGGAGTATAATGGAACTGGGAAGTTGGAACTGTTGCTTCATCTTTCCAGTTGGGAATAAAACTTAGGAATTTGAGGGAAATTATTGTTTTTCTGTGAAATTTATACTCTAGCAAGTGATTTAGAAAATCATTTCCCCAAAAAAGCGATGCGGGAAAAAATATTTTAAAAGACACTCATCTTGGCTGTTTCATCTCAGGGGAACATATCAGTAGTATATCCTGTTAAATCTAGTTTGTTCTACTTGTTATCCCAGTCTCCAATATAAACCCAATTGACTGGCGTTGCTTAGCAATTCACTGAAGATACCAAGATTCTTCTGCCTGTTTGGATTGTACAAACGTATGGATTGGTATTTTGATAAAACTTTTTGGAAACTGCCAGACCCTGCTAATATAATGGGTTTGGGTTGGTAGGTCAAAAGTCATGCACCCTTTTCTTGTGTGATCTCCTTGCTCCCTTAGCTCTCCATTTGGAAGCATAGTCTCCAGGCTCACTTTCCAACATGTCTCATCACTTCTAGAGAAGTGACACATCTTCTCAATATTGTACCATGATAAAAGTGCTTCCACCCCCACAAAAGGGTCTGGCCTAGGCAAAAGTATCTATGCCTGGTTGCCCCTTTTCTTCAAAACTTGCCAGTTTCTGGATTGAATATTGCAGCTGTATACTCAGAACACAATGAATGTTTTAAATATCAGGTTTTTTTCTCTCACGTTTTCATATATCAATCAAACCAGATGATTCACAAAAGAATCCAGATGATTATCTTTATAACTGACCTCTTTTTTCTTCCTCCATTTCTTTTCCCTATAAATTCCATTGTATCATGAAAAAACTAGAACAGTGATGGCGAACCTTTTAGAGACCGAGTGCCCAAATGGCAACCCAAAACCCACCTATTTATTCGCTGGGTGCCAGGTGGGTGTGGCCCACTGGGTGGGCGTGGCTGTGGTGGTCATGGCAGACCGGGTGGATGTGGCCAAGGTGGGCGTGGTCACCTCAACGTTGCTCGTGGGGAGAAACGCCTGTGGGGGCCGGTCAGGGTTGGGGGAGATCCAGGTGGTCTCTGGCAGATGGGGTGGTGGGAAGGAGGCTCATCCTGAGGGGTGAGGCTCGGCAGGGTGGGGGTGCCATTGTCACAGGGAAAAGCGAGGCAGGGGCTGGGGCGGCTGCTGCCTGACACCATCGGCCCCTGCACACAGAGGCCAGCAAGCGCATGGGGGCCGACAATGTCCGTCAGCAGCCACAGCCTGCTGGCCCCTCGACTGGCGCACTCTGGGGCTCCGCAGCCTGCTGCCAGCAGTTCAGAGAAGCCACCTCTGAGCTGGATGGCCGGCCGACAGCTGAGGAGGCGATGCAGTGGGTCATGTCCGGGAAAAGTAGAGCATGCAAGGCCAGGAGGGTTGGGATGAGGGTGAGGGAAACCTGCAGTGCTGGGATGCATCCGGCCACATGGGACCTCAGCGAGTTAGCAGGCCGCTGGTTGAAGAGGGACGGTTGCCATCTCTGGGGCATGGCGTGCGTGCCCATAGAGAGGGCTCTGAGTGCCGCCTCTGGCACACGTGCCATAGGTTCGCCACTACTGAACTAGAACCATCTCCAATGTACTTAACACCACTTTGATTGATCTATAGCTGTTATCAATAAATTAATAAACTGACTTCCCCATCCTGCCTCAGCATCTTTATCCTTTATGCTTTACAGTTATTAAAATATTTTAAAGGAACTGTAATTTGCTTCAGGAGAGAGAGGGTGGGCATTTACTCTAGAGCGGACTTTAAGTACCTGGTGCCATCTCCAGATACATTGGTTATGCAGACTGAGGATCCAAAGGCAACCAGCTTAGGGAAGAATGTTCTAGAGCATTTTAGATATTGGCTTGGCTGATGTAGGAGTCCAGTGGTTACGGATTTGATTGCACGGACGTTTCAGTGTTCAGATCCAAATTCTAGGCTCTTTCCTACAAGACTGATATTGGTGCTCTACTGACAGCATCCAAAGAAGTTGCATCACTATGGCACCCAGGATGAAAGTTGGAGCCCCTTGGTCTTCCAGTAGCAGGGAACGATGTGTAAAGAAAGAAGACTCTTGCGTTACACTGGACTGACTTTTCCCTTCATACCTCATCTTCAATAGAAAAAGGGTGAGGGTTCTGTAGCAAAACACCGACTGACAGTCCTTCAGAAGAGGGAGGAGCAGTGAGAGTTCTGTTCAGATTATTTTCATTTGCTGTTATCTAGATTCTTGGGGAGAAGAAGAAATCTGACCTCTCACCACATGCACAGACATACACACAATCTATTATTTAAGAAATGTCCTATCCTTGAAACTATTTGTCAGGGATTAAAGAACAGAGAACTGAGCAACAGCTACTGTAATTTCCAAACTAGTAAACTGATGGTAAAAGAAATGCAGGCTTCTCCAGCCAAAGCCCTGATCTCTCTCTATGCAGTCGTGATTGGAAATGTTTTCCTTTCTGTACCCTAAAAACCCAGGAAGGCTGACACATTTAGACATCCACAAATCTCAGGGGAAGGGAGGCTTACTGGCCCATAACTGCATCCATTTTTATCCCGTGGGGGGGGGAATAGATATATGCCAATCATCCATGGCCTGATGTTGATCTGGACAGTAGGCTTAGCTCTTAAGACGTATAACCTACATTTCCATAGAGAAGCAAGCAATCTGTTGCTGTCCAGCAACAAAGCCACTCAGTCATCCTATCTTGTGGTCTACTCCTTCCCTTTTCACTTTTGATGGAACAAAAATAAGTTCGTTACGTATTTCAGTAGACAGCATGCTTTCTTGGCACCCATCTGAAAATAATCCGCCTCTTAAAAAAGCACCAGTTCATAAACAGAACTGAACAAATATGCACGGCTTGGACAGACCTGAGAATACTTCATTAAAAAAAACAAAGACATCTCCTTAGCTTATGGGAGATACTGTATGCATCCATCGTGCTCTATATGAATCCCCACATGTACCGGCATTTTAAGTTGTCTGAAGGGATTAACTGCCTACCATATTATCGCCCATATCTTTAGCCTTACACCCATTGCTGGCAATTCACACACACGTGTAATCCACATGCTCACACATATCACATAGGCTCACGCGTAGGTTGCCCTAATGGAGTAAAGGAGAGCCATCCCCCCGACTGCAAAGAAGACCTGGGACACAAAGATTGTTTTTCAAAAGGAAACTTGCTGCAGTGCCCTTTAAGAGAGGCCCCGCCCCTTGTGGTCCATATCCAGAAGTGTGCAGGGTGACAGGAGGGCTGCCCTCATTCAGCAGAGGTGTCCCTGGGGCCTCAAAAGGTATCAGAGCACAGTGTTCTCCGTGCAGCTGCCGCCCAGCGATGAGCGGAACGCCTGCAGCTGGGAGACCCCGTGAAGATGGACACAGGCAGCTGCAACCACCAAGACGTGGAAGATCTGGTGAGAATGGAACTAGAACGAAAGGAGAAGAGAGGCATTGGAGCCCAAGCTGCCTCATATTGACCATCACCACATTATGAGGTTTCTTTGTGTTCTTGACATTCACAAATGAAACAGAAAACAAAGTAGCTGTGGCTTCTGCAGCTTGTATGCCTCTAGTTAGCCCCACTCTTCCTCTGGATATGCAGAAAGAGGGGGGGAAAGAGGCGACGACAAAGAAATATGCTAATAAAGGAGAATATTTGTAGTTCAGGGTTGATATGAGGGGTCTTTGGTGCTCTCTGAGCTTGCTTGTTTTCTTGCAGATGTTTCATTACCCAAAGTAGGTAACATCATCAGGACTAGTGACTCAAAAAAATATGCAGTGAAACCACAGTTATTTTACTTCCCATTATAATAGAAGATATAACAGTAAAAAAAGTGCAGTGAAGCTACAGTTATTTTACTTCCCATTACAGTAGAAGATTTAACAGTAAAATCCGTCAACCCACAACCTGGCTATACTTCCTGCAAACCTCATGAAATTATTGCAACCATACAGTAAAAGGCATTCAGAGTACTGTAGAAGTTTTAGCCATCTGGACTGGATGACATCTAAAAGCTTTAAATTATTATATGTCTGTGAGCCAAATAACATCTGGCAGGTTGATGTAGCTTTGAAGATTTTTATGGCAGTAGGAATGTTCTTGCCTCCTTTGGTGAACAAAGCCCACAGCATTGATGCTTCATCAGAGATACGTTTCATGTTTTTGTGCCAGATTGTAGAAGCTTCAAATGTTAGGCCAGGTTATTTCAAGGATGAAATCTTGTCTATATTATTATTATTATCATCATCTACCATTGAGGTTTGTAGTGCCTAAATGGCTCCAAAAACAAAAAAAAACTTTTTGGTTTTGGAATAGTTTATTGTGAATTTTTCTTCACAAATTTTTCCCCGCTAGAGCGTGTAGACTTCTTCTAAGGCCAACAGGGAAGAATGGCTGCATTATCATCCTAGAGAAGCATAGTGAGTGGTTTATTTATTGTTAAGTTTAGTAGGTGGAATTCTGCTTTGATTAGGTTTGTAACTCTTGACTTCACAAATATGAAAAAGAAGAAGGGCCAGAAACAGTCTTGGTTCTCTCCTTTCTGAATTGAGATATCAGCAGAAAGTGACCATTACTACCACATCTAGGTCATGGGTCTGAGAACTGGATTGGTCTCTGCTGCAAGGGGGATATTCTCTGCCAAAGGAACAAGTACACTGCCCTGAAATGCATCTGATCAGCTGTGATTGGCCCAGCAGCTGAAACCCTTTTTGGACAGAGTTGCCCTGACCTCAGTACACTATGTCCTAGTGATCCCACTTAGATCACTGCATTACTCCAGATTACTACTGGGTACTGTTTGGTTCTGCTCTTGGAAGTGACTAGTAGTTGAAAATGGAGAGATAAGGCTGTAGAGAAGAATATACTTCACATAATGCTAATCCCCAAATAATCACACTAGGTACCTATATGTACCAGCTAGATGTTAAAGTTTTAGTATGGATGTTTAAGACCATTAATAATTTGGATCCTGATACTTCAAGAAGCGCTTATCCTTGCATGTATTTGCCTTGAACATTAAAATCTGCTCTCAGGAACCCACAGCTGAGAGAGATGGACTAAGTTAAAAAATCAGAGAGGATTCTGCCTTCAGGATTTGTGATTTAAGGTCCCTAGCCGAGCCAAGCATTAAGTGTACTCATACTCTGGTTTCTCTTCAGATCATATAAACCTGTCATCTAAGTGTTTTGCAGCACTTACTGTGTTTTTCAGCAATTTTATACACTGTGTTTCCCCCAAAATAAGACCCAATCGGAAAATAAGCCCTAGCATGATTTTTCAGGACGCTGGTAATATAAGCCCCTACCCAAAAATATGCACCAGTTAAGACTGTCAGCCAAACAGACACATTTAGTACCATATTTCCCTAAATATAAGCCCTAACTGGAAAATAAGCCTTAATGCATCTTTTGGAGCAAAAATTAATATAAGACCCGGTCTTATTTTGGGGGAAACATGGTACTTACATGCAAACATAATTACCGGTAAATACATTAATTTTGCATATATTTGACTTGGTGGGGTTTTTTTTTTTTAAAAAAATCTTGCTTTTATGAATTGCACTCTGTCGCATCCCCTGGGCAGGCTATCATTCTCCTGCTAAAAAAGGGGGAGGGGGCAAAATGTCACTCTACCTATTCTGGGAATGTTGCCACGTCACCATTTCTCTTGTTTGCAAAAACATTGCCTACCTTGTCTGATTTGGTTTGTGCCCTCACAGCTTGCCAAAGCAAAGTATTTATTTTAATCTGCCTCCTGATATTTTGGACATGGCAAAATCAGATGTCAAATCTTGGTATTTTACCTCAGAACAAAGCTATGGATTTTACCAAGAGGAAAGTTAATGTGGAACTCATATGAAGACTCACTCTCAGTTTCAGCTTAAATACCTCCATCCCTCTTCCATAGTTTCTTGCCAAAGACATACCCAGATGTCACACTTGCCCGGGAAGAAACGTTCAGGAATGCGGGCAGCATACAAGCCCACTCCCAAGATGTAGAGGACTGCCATGAGGAAGAGCCAACCAATCTGTCCCGCTGTCGTGGCCTTGATAAAACCTTCCGTGATCATGAAATGGAGGGTGGGCACCAGTCCACTCAGCCCTAGGCCCAGAAATACACCTACCCCAAAAAGAAAGAAACAATGTAACTTGGAAGGACAGTTCCATGGCTTTAACATCAATCCAGCTAATAAAATCTTAACCGCCAAACTGGAGTTTTAATGTTGATAATGAAAGAGCAGCTGTCACAAAGTTAAACAAGAAGCAGACACATTTTTTCATATTGAACTGATGATGTTGGCATTAGCTATCATATTATGATAGTCATTGTTTCGTTCCTGCATTTTTTATATTAACTCAATATGCCAACCATTCCAACCCTGGTTCCCTCCAGATGTGCTGGAATTACAACAACTTTTTCATGTCGGTCTTTCCTCACATTTGGACAATGTTAGGTCTGGGAAGGTTGCATTATGCTAGGTAAATTCCTCTATAATCTATATTATATAATAATTAGTTTGGTTTCCAATGATCAGCTTATGAGTGTTGTTTGTATACCAAAAAGGGCACAATTGAAAACTACAAGAAAGGTTTTGGAATCTTGACACCCCTAAGATTTGCAGAAGCATAGAAATAGGGGATTCCAAAAGCCACACAAACTGTTGTGGGAAGGGAGGGGTGGAAAGACCAGGCAAAGGAAATGTAACCAAAAGACTAGAAAACAACCAACAGTATTCCCCATCTTTTATAGGTTTCTCGACATAATGTAGCAGTGTGAGGACTACTTATGCACTCAAATCAAGAATAGTTACCTGCCCGCACGGCCCGATACTGTGGTGTGGCAAAATGATCCCACTGCGACACCGTGATAGCAGTTATACCCAGCACACAGATGATGATGAGGTAAATGAGCTGGGGTTGTGGTGAGCAGTAGAACGAGTAATACAACCAAGGAACAAAACTGCCCATGGTGAGCAGGGCAATTCCAGAGTAATCCAATCTGCACGGAAGGTACCACAGAAAGCAGGGTGATCAGTAGACATCAGGCAGAGTGCAGGGCTTGGTGTGTAAAGTTTAAAATACAGGAGCCTTTAAACTATTTTACTAAAGTACAGGTCTCTATAGTCACAGTGTGGACAAGATATTGTGAAGGACCTTTGGCCTTGATTCTACTGCCAAGATGATCCATGTTATGGGAAGCATGTATGCAGACATCATAGATAGCAAGGATTGTACCTACATGCTGGTTTCTACAAGGAAGAATCACATATTTTGCCACATTATGAACTAGTCACTGATGTTGTCATCTTCTCCTAAAATGGAGACATTCTTCATAGGTATCCCACTACAATCCCTGCCGCTTAGTTTTTACAGGTTTCAATTGCACTAATCAGAAACAAGAAAGGAATCGTTACGGGTATTACAAATGGCCAGGGCTCTTTCTCAGGCCTGCACCCCTTGTGGCCCACTGTGTCAGCCTTCAGATTCCCACCTAGGACAGCCTTTGACTTGGCTGCCTGGGAATTGTCCTCTCAACAGAATCAGGAAGTGCTCAGGAGGTGAAAAGCTGCATTAGACCAAATGAAGCTCATCTGTTATTGGCTCAAGAAGTCTTGAGGAAAAGTGCTGTCTATTGGCTTCCTTCAGATAAGCAACAGCACAGTGACAGCCCCTTCTGAAATCCACCCAATATCTCTTGTGTAACACTTGTGTATGGTATATTTACCATAAATATACTTTGTGACTTACTGTCCTTGGGCAATGTTTCTCAACCTCAGTCACATTAAGGGATATGGACTTCCACTCCCATAATTTTGGGAGTGGAAGTCCATACATCTTAACATTGATGAGGTTGAAAAACACTGATTTATAGTGCTGCAACGAACATCACTTTAGGGGCATAGTTTAAAAAATGAATCAGATGACTCCCAAGATACGACTTCAATTGGAGCATAGCATTTTTATTAAGTTCCAAATGTTGAAACATCAAGTGCGAAGTCCTATCAGGACCCTGAATTGTTTCCAGATGCTGCATGGTGCAGCCCAGACAATGGCATACCAGAGTCTTGATGCATCTCCATTACTTGCTGCTTGCGTACCACAGAACAGAAGAAAAAAGTTGGGGATAGGGAGACTGGCAAACTCCTGACAAATTCCAATATCTGATTGGTCATATGCTTTGGCTTGATAGGGATTTTCTTTTACAATAAGAAAGGCAGTCCAGTTATCAGCCAAAGAAGAAATTTGCCTTGTATACTCTAAACATAAGTCCTCACACTTCGTTATGAGAGAAAATATATTGATTCTTAATTCTTGCCTGCTGGTCACATGCCCCAGATGTTTGCAGGAGGATGGAGAGAGGAGGGGAAATCAACTTACTTGGAGAAGGTACGAGAAACTTTCTCAGAGTGGCAATAGACTGTGTGGAATAGCCAGGAGAAACAGAGACAGAGAATGGCTCCGAGGAAAAACATGCCAATGACCACACGCTCCTGGATGGGGGCCACATATTTCATGTTAGGACTGAACATGTATCCAATGCCCAAAACCAGGAAGAAGAGGAACCCTGAGGAAAGGGAAGAAAGTTACCAATATATAAATGTTTCTGCATGTATTCAAATACTGGGACACGCTTGGAAATGGGAGACATACATCTGGTTTGGCAGGGACTGCAAGGATCATTTCTGAATCTACCCCTGAAGAGACTCCATTTCAGGAACTTCACAGACCTTTTTCAAGTTGGGAGAATCAATATGTGAAATGGGAGACTGAAGAAGTACCAGTGGTTTCTGGTGTGAGTCATGCTTGACTGAAGATGTCTCTGAAAACAAGTGAAGATGACCGCTATGAAGACAAAAGACCAGTGAACAGATTGATTGTTCGAGTCTCTCCAGAGAAGGGGAGAATTGGAGATTGCCTATGAGTGCTCTGGATGGCAACACCTCATGAGAAACACAAAACAGCAGTCTCCAACTGGTTTGACCGCTAGGAGCCAAGCAAGACAACATCTTTGTTCTGAGCAGCAGTGTAACCTTTCATAAGGTCACTAAGTCAGCTGGATTCACTTTCTAATCACCATTGGAAAGGTTCAATTTAATTATTTATGGATGTTAGAGACCTTCAAAATGGCAAGCTTAATTTGACACCTGGTGAGTTATTTTTTCTTAGATTTAAGAAACTTTAAGCAAGAGACTTAAGAATTTAAAATAAATTTGAAAAATATAGCAGTAGTGTATGGCATTTACAAAGCAAACTGGTGAAAGCTTTGAAGGCTTCTAAATGCCAAAGAGTGATGAAAGATTGAACCCTGTGATTTGTACAGGAATGATTTAAAGATCAAGATTGTACACAATGAAAATAAAGAATGTAAAGTTGGATTATTTGACCAGGGATAAACTATTTGTTTGATATTTCAAGAAACTCACAATGGACTTTTTGCTGAACTAGGATCCAAAAGATGATGATTTCTGGATTGTGTATAGATTAAAGGCTGTGGGGAGAAGAGGTGGGTTGTTGGTTTTTTTGTAACTTTAAAAGAGGATGAAAAGTTATTATATTTGCTTATGCTTGGTATAATGAAGGTTGGATGTCACTAATTTATTACTGTCTTAACTGTTTGTTTGGGTTTTTTGCACCTTCTGAACTTTTATTTTTTTCTTCCAGATTAGTTTGTATTAGCTTTACTATAATAATGTTATTGAAGTTTTATTAAAAACTTCAATAACGTTATTAGAGATAGAAAGTAAGCAGAAGAGGGAAAGGCCAAATACTTGACCAAAGCTGGCCACTGAAGTAGCCACTGAGTTAGTCCTGCATTTATCATGTCACCAATAAACCTGATTTGGGACAACAATGGTCTTTCAGACTGTAGGACCTGCTTTTACATATAAGTCCTCAAATGTATGTATTACAAGAGATGGAGCATGCCTGATTGAACTGCCTTACTCCTGGTAGTTAGAGAAACTTTCTAGTATCAGCCAGTGTCAGATCAGATTTGGTGCTGGACATCTCATGTTGAAAGAGGATTTTAAGATCTAAGAGTTCATTGTTCCCAAGAAACTGGGCAGATGTGATTATGTGACAAGGCATCCAAGAGTAAATGTTGAAGACACTATCGTCACTGGGGTAGTTGCAAAAATGTATGTCTCCTCAATGTAGAATTCAAATAGCTTTTTTAAAATGCTTTTTTTATTTAGTAGGCATGTTTTCTTAATGCAAAATTGTCCCAACTAGATACTGGTAGCTCTAGCAAGTTGTACAATAAGGATACAATCCATGGACCAAAAAGCTTTGTATGGCAGTAGAATCAATTTATCACATACAAACTGGAACTCGTGAGACTTCCTCTGTGTGAAAACAAACTTCTTTCTCTACCCTTGTAGTTACTTTTATAGCAGTGGAAGGGCAATTTGCTTTGGCTTCTGGTGAGTGAAAGAACAAGGCTGGATAGAAGAGGACACTTATATCCTGATGTCCTTTCACTCCCTAGTGATCACTGTGGAGGGAAGACAGAGGAGGACACTTGGCTTAGAACAGGGCCAAATTTTCTTTCATAATGCCAAGGATTTATTTTTTTACAGATGACATCATTTTCAGTCATTTTTAGCAAAAATTGGGGTGGGTGGGGGAACTGAGGGACGAGACATCTCACTTGGAAGTCCACAAATTAGGGCAACCCTACAGGCCAAAAATATTGTCACTCCCACAGTAAACCATGGGATTTCCCCCCCCCCCAGAACCATAAATGACTTTTGCTAGGATATATAGGTAGTCCTCAACTTACAAACACCATTGGGACCAAAATTTCCATTGCTAAGCAAAGCTTAGTCATTGCTAAGTCATGAAGTGAGTTTTGTCCAATTTTATGGATTTATTTTTTTTTTGCCCTGGCTGTTAAGTGAATCAGTGCAATCGTTAAGTGAATCTGGCTTCTCCCACTGATTTTACTTGTCAGAGGTCATTTGGGAAGGTTGCAAACGGCGATCCCAGGATCCCAGGATGCTGAACTGTGGTAAATACATGCCCATTGCCAAGCACCCAAATTTTAATTACGTGACTGTGGGAATGCTGTAACAGTCATAAGACTAAGCAATCTTTTTCTGTGCCATTATTACTTTGAACTGGTAGCTAAATGAATGGTTGTAATTGAGGACCACCTATATAATCTACTTGGTTCATATAAGATGGTAATACAAACCCAGGCAAATAACGATCCAGTCAGTCACTAAATCTCATTGGTGTCAGGTGGACACCACTGGAGAGTCATAACTTTTAGCCAAATTTTATGCTGGATGTGTTTTGTTTAAAAAAAACACAGTGAAAAAGTGGAAACCAGAGTTTTATGCAATGGAATGCAGTTTGTTTCCCACCCTCTTTGTTCCCCCTCAGTCTATAGAGCTATACAGTCCTCTGCCCCATGACTGACCAAGCAGATGAGTCCAGATGTTGCCAGTCTCGGTGTGGAGCCGGAAGATGCTGCGGAAACAGGCGCGGAAGGAAGGCATGGGTGGCCGATGTCCATGCAGGAGGAAATCATTGTCTTTCAGCCAGTCAGGTAGCACATCATAGGGCATGACACGCCAGCGGCCTTCCCAAACCTGCAACAGCAGAAGAGAGGCTAGAAGAGACATAGAAGAAGCTTGCTTACCCCTCCTTCCGTGAGCTGAGAACATCAAAACAGTGAGTGCATTTTTATACTTGGGGATACGGTATTCCTCTTGGGGAAAAAAAACCCAACAACCTGGGAGACAAGAATTTCTAGCGTTTTCCCAAAGAATTTTTCTAGTGTTCACCTCATTGAGTCTTTTTTGCCTTCATTCCCTATAAGCCTGGGGGGGGGGGGAATTTTGAGGAAACGTTCAAGATTCCAAAGTGCTTTGAAGTTAGGGCAAAGTTGCACAGACCAACTCCCCCTCTCCCCCCCCCCCAAGATTTAGATGGGGCCCTCCAAATGTTCCAAGCAAATTGCTATTTTTCATGCCAAAGTGGAGGAGAGTAATAATGTCTACCAAGAATGAATTACGTTAAAAGGATGTATTGAATTTAATGTGATTTAAAATAAATCTGTTCTAGTTTAAATGCACTGTCTGGACCTGTCTCTTTTTTTCTGATGCACAGCCACCATATGCCACCCAGAGCTAAAGTGTGGACTTCATCCTGAAAAAAACCTTGAACACCCCTAAGGTAAATCAAACCAAATGAACTACACGGCCATATAGATATTTAGTATGGAGACGCACTCACTTGCCTTGATCCTGTATTTTGAAAATGGGTAGTGGGTATCTTCCAGCTGATATTTAATTTTAAAGAAACTATTATTATTTTTTGCATTGGGAAGTTTCCAATAATCTCCAGTTAGAACCTCTTGCTATAAAAAAAAGCCTATCTCCCCCCCCCCACCTCACAGAACTGTTATGAGGATAAAATGGGCAGGATAAAAAGGAATGCTACATCTATTGACTTGAGCTCCTTGAAGAAAGACAAGATATAATTATTATTATTTTTATTTTTAAAGATCATGATTAAACCACAGCAGGCATCATCAATCGCTTTCACGCTCTTCTTTAACAATGTTCTGGGTTCACGATCCCTTCTGCTTTGCTTGTTCCTTTGTTAGATGCAGAAGCAAGTGAGCAGAGCTAGCCCTGCTTCCCAACAGCATTTTACTTTCCATCTTGATTGAATGTCTGGTTGAAAACAAGCATTTCCTCCAATGAGGGGAAAACTACTGTAATTTCTTACTGTTAAAATCAAACAGTTTCTATCATAAAAATGTGGCAAGTCTGATCATGTAAACTTTTTTAAAAAGGCAAAGCGAGAATATCCTGGAGAGACAGCAGCAGAAGCAGCTGCCGCAGTCTGGGCAACTTAGAGATAGTCCAGACAAGAAACCCCAATTCCTTCTGTAGATTCAGCTGCCTCTTATTTAACTGTCACCTCATCTGCAGCTCCTCCTCCTCCTGTTTCTCAAAAACAGCCTCACAGACCATCACAGAGAGGGATGCAGAGGTAGAAAGAGCTGTTTGCAAAATAATGGCAATAAAATCAAATAACCATCTGAGTCGGGATGGTGTACTGACCCAAAAGCCTTTTTTCAGGAACAAGCCATCTTTCCAGGATGTGGGCACCACTGCATCATTTAGAGGCATGGAAACAATGGGAATTATATTACTACATACACAACGTGAAATTACAGCTGCCAATTTTTTAGCTTTCATATGCAACAAGTTCTTTCCAAGAACCTAGGATTCATAATGTATCAGTGCATTGTTGTTGTTGTTAATCTTCAGTTTGATTTACAGTCTGGGACTGGTAAAAACATAAACAATTCAAGTCCTAACCAAGAACCTAAGAGCTGTTAAGGTAGTGTCTGAGTATATAGGTAGTTCCAAGTAGGGTGGTTTTTTACATGATATTCAAGTCTAATAAGTTCACAATTTCCATGTATCTAGGCAGCCGTGTGGGTATTGCTTCAAGGGCTCCTATTACTATTGGTACATTATTATTGTTATTGTTGCTATTAATAATAATAGTATTTCATACCAACTATGGAGATATTTTGAGATGTAATTTTCCTCAGAAATTGCAGCTGTTTAAACAACAGCAACAACTATTGCTCAATTTTGGGAATCAGTGGGTGCAATTTAATAGTGCTATGGGTCTCTGCAAGGACCATATTGCCAACTCTGGCCTTACAGAGGTTCTGGGAATGTCATGGTGCTATTTGATGCATTTCTACTCAGAAGTCTAAGGAATTCAATAAAGCTTATATTCAGGTAAATGGATATAATATTATGACATTATCTCAAGTTCTAATTCCATTGTACCAAATTCAATAGAGGTAATAGGAAACTGTCTATTAATCACACGTCTTCCCTTTGAGAAGTAAAGCAGGTAGAAGAAAGGAATAACAGGGTAAGGTGAGATTCATTTCCTAGCCTTCTTAAAAGTTGTTCATTGCTGATCCACAATATCTAAATGATGCAGTGAGGAACTCTAGACCCTAGATATAATGATCTTATTTGAGAAGGGGGCTCTTACATAGTAATATATATGTCATTTTAAAATGTAATAAGCCAGTCCTTCTGCATTTTGGTGACCTCTTACTTTGTTGAGTGGCAGCCTGGATTTCTGCTCTAAAGCCCTGGCTTAGGGATCCCATTGATGGCTACTAAAGTAGGAAAGTAATAAGGCTGCTTTGACTTTGGAACAAATTGCTGGGAGTCCCAGATAAGATATTTTACATGCTAGAGTTCAGTCAATTTTGAAAGTAGACTGAACATAGCTTACAAATACGGACAATACTGATCCAGGAGGAGACTGTTTCTGACTTTTCTTAGTTCTCACTTGCCTTCATCCGACAATGGTCTTTGGGAAAGTAGTCCACCTCCAGGTCTTTGGAAAAGTAGTCTTTGGCGCTTTGTGCTGCCTTATGTCTCCTTCCCATGGCCTCCCTCAGACGCGGACCTGAAGGGAACTCAGCTGGGTGACTGACTTGCAAGTCAGAAGAGTGAGTCCACAGCATCTCCAATTTTGCTTCTCCTGGTCTCCCTGGTTCTGGGTAATGTGGCCAGATGGCCTTGCCCCTCTATGAACCCGTCCAGAAGCTGGCTCAGAACGGGTTGTCATGGCAGAGAGGAGACTCTCTTCCCCGGGGTAAAGGATGAAAATCTTATGATTCTTCCACTCCCAATCACTTGGCAAAAGGGGCTATTTTTCCCAGCCTGGTAAAGCTGAGAAGGAAAAGGATGTTGATCAGCAGCTGAAGTCATAATGATGCTTCTTGGAGTACTGCTGTGACATATTGGCTTGCCTCAGAATCAATAGGGCTCATTCAAGAGTTGACTGCTGAACAACAGTTGTAGAAGAATGAAGTTACAAAGGGGGTGGCACCCAAGAAGGCTTTATGTAATGTATATAACTTGCCTTCAAAACAAATTCTTCCATCTTCTCCATGGCATGCTGGGCCTGAAGTGGCAACATCAAAACCCGCACAGGATCTGGACCAGTGTCTTCTTCCTCTAACTCTGGATCATCTGATCCCCAACCTGTGGGCTCCACCTTCATTTCAACGCCATCCTGAAAAAGAAGATGCATACACTGGCCAATGGAATTCTATAGAAAGAGAGATAACGTGAGAAGAGATAGGACAAATGAAGGAAAACCAGGAATAACATTTCCCTTTTCTGCTATATAGTGCAGTAATCTACTGATAGATTAACAGAGAGGTTCAGGATCCCTTCCCTCTTAATGCAAGGGTAAAGGATAGGCCCAGAAATAAGATAAAGGACTTCCTCCTTCAAAGACTCACAACCCAGAACAATTGGTTTAGATTTGGCTTGCAGGGCTACCCTATCAACCAGCTACTAGATTCAGAGCACCGAGAATCACCTACAGGCTCTATTTATGAGTTTGCAGTCCACTGCTGTAGACATGCTAGCTTTTCATCTGCTCTGTTGGATATGGTGTTTGCAATGCTACGGTTCGAAGACCAGGAGGAGACAGAATAATGGAACTGATGTTGAGTTGGTTCATAAGCCAGACAGAAAAATTACTAGTAAGTGCTGCTCTGGCCAGAAGTCATAGTTTCAGCTTTGAGTTCTGACCTTTCTTGAATCCTCAGCCCAGCAAAGCCATTTTCACATTCTTAGACAAATGTAATTGGCTTTAGAGAACAGAGTTTGGGTCATGATGACTGCACACAAAAGAAAGATGCAGAAGACAGTATGTAATAAGAAGAGAGACCCAGTGGGTGGCCTCCCTGATACTCACCTGGCCAGCATTCTCTTGTAGCAAAGGTCTCATTTCAGCCACAGCCTCCTCCCCCAGGTACCCTGCGCACCACCCAGCCCGCTCCTTCAAGGGCTCCATGATGGGGGAGGAGGGGGGCATACAGTTGAAGCCTCTTCACAGGCAGAGGCTCAGTCCCATCTGCAAGCCACCAGCCCCATCGTCCCCACTGTCTCTGTGAGAAAGCAGAAGGGGTAAGGGATGCAGAGGGATGAATCTCTGGATCCTTCTGTTCTCCTTCTCACCTGGTGATCTGCCATTTCTCCCCCATCAGCTCCTATTTCCCAAATCATCCTGCATGCTTGTCCATAAGAGCTGTGCTCCACATCCTACCCTTTCCCCTTTGTCCCCCTGAAATCTTTACCTCTCTTCAGTTCAGTTACTTCCCCAGTCTCTTTTGTTTTTATTCCTCTAAAATCCCTACCATCCTGTCATTCCTTGTCCCTCTAAAATTTGATAACTTGCTCCCTAGTTGTATTGATCTGAACTCTAAATATTGGTACTCTTCACCCTAACCATTTAAAGTTCTGCTTGCAACCTGACCTTGCTCTCAGCAAGGGGCCAGGGAGAGGTTTATCTGCTTCCCCTAGATTCCTAATATGGTACAGAGAAGCAGTAAGATCTGTGCCATCCCATGGTTCACTTCCCAATAGTGGGTGATACACAATCTTTTGAAGATTTGTAAGTGGAATCCAAGGAATACGTGGTTATCTATAGCCATTCCTTGGTCTCCCTTCCTTGCTACCCAAGCATGGTTCACATTTATCATCTCATCAACCCCCACAAAACCACTCTTTGGATGTTTCCTTTTGCCCCATAGCATCCCTGGCCATACCTCGTCCCCATTCCCTTGAGGCCCTCCCAAATATTTCTGCCCTCCCTTCCCCTCTCCGTTGCTCCATCACCTTTCTTTCCATTCTATTCTCCCAGCCCCTTCATTATACCCTCACCCAAAAGCCCTAGCAGCAGCATCGGGACCCAGCTGCCCCTTAAAACCCCTCCTCCCGCTCCGATAAGCCTTGGCACCTGCCCATCAAATTCGGATCACTTCCTGCCAGAAGCCGAGCATCCTCGCCTGCTTGGATTGGGCAACGCGTTGGGAAAAAAATCCGGTGCAGATAACTTCCGGCTGATGCTGGAAGCCTTCCTTTGATTGTTGCCATGGTGACCCTTAAGGAGCGGTGCCCTTTGTTTTTGTAGCGTTCGGCAAGAAAATGGAAGAACAAATCGTTTTGCAGCTGGCGGGGTGCAAAAGGGGAGGGTAATCTTTTGCATCTCGTGCAGAAGTTAATACGTTTGCAAAAGATCCGGACATTTAATCTCAGGCACAGGTCTGACTGAGGTCTGCCCGCAGAAATCGTGTGGAGGAATTCTGTGCGTGGATAACCCCGTTTTTACGAGGAAAAAAGCGGTGTGTGTGTCGGTTCAGCTGTGTACGTACCGTGTACGGGGGAGGAATTATATATCTCGATGCAGTTGCACAATTGAATGAAGGCAGGTTTAAACGCACCCGCCTCGGTTGGGAAAAGTTTGATGTGCTTGTGTCTGGGAAAGTTAGACACAGTTCCTAAATCTTCTCCATAATCCCGTTTGAAGGCATCTGTATGAATCAACCGAAGGACTGCCATTGCCCTCCACTGATTACATTCCAGGAGTGGCAATTAAGGCAGCCGGATGGGATCCTTTGGAAGAGCCGTTCAATTTCCACTAGAGCTGTAATTCTCAAGCCCAGAAACTTTAAGATGCGTGGAAATCAACAATTCCGAGAGTGGAAGTCCACGCATTTTAAAGTTGCTGATAAAGTTGTCGAGAAACGCGGCATGACAATGGAACCAATAGTAATTTTATTCGACAGGAATTGGTGAAGCGGGAGTGAAACTGACAAGGAAAAGACATGTGACACAGGTTCCCTGATTATTATTTTTTTTAAAAAAAATCCCTACTTGATTTTGCATATTTTAATTAGGCTTGGAGTTTCAATTTCCAAACAGGTGTATATTAATGTTTACAACGTCAATCTGCCACTTTTCAATTGAAAACCATCAGAATTTACAAAAGGTTTATGCGAAGGCAGTTGGATTTTGAAGGACGACAGCTGCAATTTCCTAAATATACCTATAGGGGGCAGAAACGATTGTTATGGCTTAGATTGGACCACCATTTCCTGGAACCGTTTTGCAAGTCCTTCCCATATGGTCTAGCGGTTAGGATTCCTGGTTTTCACCCAGGCGGCCCGGGTTCGACTCCCGGTATGGGAAGAAAGATTGTTTTTGTGCTTGTCATTCTGATTTTTAAGAATACTGTTGCAATTTTTTTTTCTAATTTCAAAATACCGTATACTTTTCTCTGTCCTTTAAAACCGAAACTACACATATTGAAAATGAAAACGACAACGAGCGCTACAATATCAATTTAGATTGCAAGACACAAAATTACGTCTTCTCCCATATGGTCTAGCGGTTAGGATTCCTGGTTTTCACCCAGGCGGCCCGGGTTCGACTCCCGGTATGGGAAGAGCATGTTTTCTTTTTAAATTTTAAAATAGCTTTCTTCCCTTACAAATACTGTAGTCTTCCTTATTAAAACCATTAAAACCCACTGAAATGTCAAACTTGCTTGATTACAAAAAGAGCAGGGTGTCAGGTTCAAAAGTGTTACCTTTCAATATAAGCAAGATTCTTAAAAGAGGACAAACAGAGTTGATACATCAACTGGGTAAAAGGAATTTGGAGGTGATTTGTATTCGTTTCCGAGAAATATCCAGATCGTTGATTTGTCAGAGGCTTCATAAAACGCGTCTGCTGTAACTTATAGATATAAAATGGGAAGCTCCTTTTCTTCATTTGGAAAAAAATAGACAGCAACTGCGTGAAAGTTCGTGTTTTCGTGAATTAGCAAATGGCACAGAACACAGGATACAATTTTACTATAAAATTCCAACTTTCCCATACCGGGAGTCGAACCCGGGCCGCCTGGGTGAAAACCAGGAATCCTAACCGCTAGACCATATGGGAGAGCGTGTAAAACTCTTTCAGCCACCCAAAAGTTCAATCTGATGATCCGGGTTAAATTCTGCCACTACCAGATTCGCAAGGATTAATTCCTCAGGCTGCCCATCGCGGAGAAAAGAAAAACCCGGGGCTGCGATTATATATTGTAAGCACACTGCCTATGATTATGTGGTAATATGATATTAATGGATAGACTTTAGGCAACTCCTCTAGGAAAGAGAGAGAGAGAGAGAAGACAGACTCCAATTCACTTCGGAGCATGTCAAATCCACATATCGGCCCTTAAGTTTGACGACGTTCGCCTTGAACAAAGGCCTCTTTGGACGACCCTGCGTGTAAACCAGGGGTAGTCAACCTTGGCTCTTTTATGACTCGTGGACTTCAACTCCCAGAATTCCTGAGCCAGCCATGCTGGCTCAGGAATTCTGGGAGTTGAAGTCCACGAGTCATAAAAGAGCCAAGGTTGACTACCCCTGGTGTAAACTGTGCTTCCCTTGCCGATGCTCGCGATCACTTCTCCAGCAAGGGAATTTCGGACTCAGGAAGGGCGGCAGGCTGGCCTTCTCATGGGCCGCACTAACCGGACAGAGGAAACCCTTCCCGGGTTTAGTCGCTTTGCTGAAAGCCGGGGAAAAGTGACTCGGAGGTGGGAGAAGAGATACCAGTCCCAGCCTCATCGCTTCTAATGACTCAGCTGGTGCTTAAGGAAGCGAACCCAGATGTGGATCCAAATGCAACTTCCCGTCCACCTCCCCCCCACCCCGGTTGCATTCGCCTCTGCTCGAGTCTCCGAAAACTAAAGATCCTCATCACCACCCGTGTTTGCACTGTTGATTTATTTGCACGACAGATTGGAGCTCGTATTGCAACTTTAGAGGCAATTTCAGTGTTACATAAGAAGAGGCGCGCGAACTGTAAAAATGTGGTCACTGCGACCTTCTTGTGCCACGCCAGGCTAGTTTGCCTTTTTAGGATCCCGAACTCAACCTCACCAAGAACAAGGCGCAGGTAAAAACCTTTGCCTTGTTCCTCCTTGTCCGCCGCCTCCCCCCTCTCCCACTTCCGTATCGCAGTACTTTTTGAAGGCAGCTATAAAGGCGTAGCGACCCCTATTGAAAGGCTAGGGAAGTACGCCTTTAAAGGTCCCATCTCGTGCAAATCTGGTCCCAGAGCAGCCTTTGGACGCCCGGGCGTTTTTTTCCTCCTCCCCCCCCCCAAATGCGTTCCTTCTCTCGTTCATGTCCTATCTACACACACATGAGAACGAGTTAACTATAAAGAGGCCAAACTGAATAATGTGGCTTCTCTCTTTAAAAAAAAACGCGAGGTGTCAGCAACAAGTTTTTTCTAAGATTCACTTCTTTTTGGGTCCCGAGGGACGAAACTGTCCTTCCATTAGTTTTTGATCCATTAACAAAAAGCAGAGGGGTTGCTTTCGTTGTTTTGCTAATGCTCGTGTCTCCACGGTAAATAACTTAGATTTTAGAAAAATGTAAAAAAAAAGTTACTTTTCCCATACCGGGAGTCGAACCCGGGCCGCCTGGGTGAAAACCAGGAATCCTAACCGCTAGACCATATGGGAGAAAACTGTTTCAAGCGTAACACAACTGGCTGATAGAGATAACAGCTCAATAAAAGCAGCCACATGTATCTCCTTGCCAAAAGTCTTTGAATTTCTTATACCAGTTACTATCCAATTTTTTAAAAATATTGGTAGCTTTGGTTAGCATCCCTAATGCACCAGGCTATACTTTTATTCTCTCACCCACTCCTCAGGAATAAAATCACTGAACTTGAAAGCCTTTTTAAGCATTTTCTGATCTTGCTTCTTTCTTGCACTTGGATAGTAGGCTTGACGGTTGTAGACTTTTTTTTGACTTTTTGTACTAAGACTCAAATATACAAAAGCTTTGTGTTCTGTGAAGGATTGGTATGAATCAGCCAGGTCTTTTTAAAGCTCAGCATGACTAGATGTGTCTGTCTTCTTTTTCTCCCCTCAGGGGGATTTGCAGTATGTTTGGGTTCATCGTGACAAACCCTTGCAAGGGAGGTACACCTCTTCAGCATTTG